AAAACCCCAAAACCCCAAAACCCCAAAACCCCAAAACCCCAAAACCCCATCTTAAATTATATATTTTGAATAAAACAATAATAACAAATGAATGGGAATTTTGGCCACAGTAAAACAAAGACTGTGCCTGTAACGAGTTTTCCAAATGGGAGGGTCACAACCATGCTGCAAAATTCTTATTCCAATAAAATTGGCCCCAATGCAAGAGTGAAGACCTATTCGAGAGCACAGATACTTGGTCAAAACATTAAAAACTTTAGAATGCAAGATGGGAATAGACATATTGTAAAATAACCCCAACTTTATTAATAATAGTTTCAGCAGGAGCAAGAGTGTCTATAAAGACCAAGATCTTGCCAGGAATGGATCCACTGGGTCAAGATCCACAGCCTCTCATTCTACTGGACTCCCTCCTGCATTGAAAAAAAATTGTTCGATATCTGCAGACTATGGGCATAATTATGACCAGAAGGTCGCTGAAAATGTGAATAAACGGGGCAATTCTATTAAGGATAAAATATTCAAGAATATTTCTGCAAATAATCACTCCTCAATGAAATCAACAGGTCGTGGTGGGGATAGAGCATGGGCCCTAAACGGAAATAATGCTAATAAAAATGATTATTCAGGAAAGAAAATGATGGAGTCCTCCACCGACTTGTCCTATTCTAACAACCCAGAGGTGTCAAATAGGCAGCCTTCTAAAAGAATTAATTCTCTAGGAAGATCAGATTCGAGTATTAGGTCTAGCAAGAATAAAATCCAGCTTGAGAAAATACCTCCTACGACTATTGGGTTGGACTACACTATTATCCATGTAATCGACGAGAACAAGAAGAAGGAAAAGGATTTCAAATGCTCCCTGCCCATACTTCTCAAGCATATGAAATATTTTGAGCGACACCTAAAATCGCCTGATTCCTCTGAAGACATCGACATCAGCGTTCACTGAGATGTAGCAATTTTCGAATGGTTATTAAACTACATTGAGCATAATGAGAGAATCGAGAAAAATAACGAAGCTATCAAATTCTATGACGTTGTCACCAAGGATGGGGATAACTACAAAACTGCTACAACTGTTAAGCGAAGAAAGCCCACATTTGAAACGGAAACTGCAATTTCGATCCTGATTTCCTCGGAATATCTCAAGATGGAAAAGCTTATTGATGAGTGTGTTGACTATTTCATTTCCAAAATGAATGATATCCTACGATTGCCAATAGATATGAGCTGTATTAGCTCTTCACTCCAAAGAAAAGTACATTTGGCTAATAATATATAGATATCGACTAGAATGTCTGACTTGCAGCTAGATGAAATTAAGGATAAAAAGGACAAGCTCATAAGTAAACTCTACATGAATAAGCTTCACATCTTACTGGAAGACGATAGTAAGACCCTCCATAAATGAAATTATTGCCATAATTTGTTCACTCAGAACCAGATGGACAAATTCGGATGACCCAAAGCTAAGATTTTTATTGATTTCCATGGAAAAGTCATTGCAGATCACATGTTTGACAGATCTTTTGACATCAAGAAATTCATTAGCTTCTGTAAGAATACAATGAAACTGACCTGGAAGCAAATTTATTGGAAAATCTATGCCCACACTGTAGATTTCGAGTGAAGAACATGTAATAAGAAGTTCAACGGTGCGTATGCAAAGCATTGATATTACCATCCAAATAAAGCTATTTTCTCGTTTGGATCCAACAAAGGAGTTTATCAATGCTGCAAACAAGAAACTCTCAGGTTTGATACTAGTATTAGGAACGATGGTTGAAAAGCAATGGACCATATTCCAAAGTCAAATGACTTGTTTTTCCAAAGACTTTGTGAGCTAAACCGAGTGCAGTGGACACAAGAGCCATACCCATCCACTATTGTTAATGATGAAGAAGAACTTGGATGAGAATCTGCTAAAGAAAATAAACCTAAAATCTTCGCTATCTCCGAAATGATCAAGAAATATAACAAAGAATCTGATGCTTCTTGGATGATAGTTGATGAAGACGAAGATGAGGATAATCCTGAAAGTCCCAATAGAAGAAGTTCAGTCAGTCCAAATCGGAAAAGATTCACTCCTCTGAGGAAAGGGAATAGTATTTCACCTAACCGTTCAAACAAGAACCAGAAGAACTATAATAGTATTCGTAACGAGTAACATGTAGGCACTAATCTTCAAAACTTTTCCACTACTAGCAAGCTCAACATAGAGGAAAACAACATCTCGAAGGAGGAGACTAAGGAAGAAGTCAAACAGCCTTCTCAGAATGAGGAAAAAGACAGGGCTTCTACTCAGAATCTGGTCATTGAGAAGGCCACTAATGACACTAGTACGGATAATCTTGTAGAGAGTCAGAAATAAGGCTCCAAAATCACCATCCAAAAAGAAGAGGAGCAAAAGGACAAAAGTTCAGGGTAAATATGGGTTATTATTGGGTTATAATTTCCAGCTTCAAGTACAAATACTACCCTTTTATTATCTTCATGAAGTCATGAAATCTAAGGATTATATTTTGTGTTGAAATTAGCTTACCAACTCTCATGAGAGTGCCATATGCATCAAAGTCATATATTTATTGAGGTGATACAAGTGGGGAGTAGACATAGCTAGATATTTAGTTGCCAGTCCGATGAACCTTCATAATATCTTTGCTATTTTACATTAAATCTGGATCGTAGATCTAAAAGTAGTTTCTCTGATTTTATTACCCTTATTCTGCATGTTTAGAATTGTTTCCTCTGATCTGAATGATTGATCTTTGTATAGCTGTTAGCCTTCCATCGCTGTCTAAATAAAGCTCTCAGAGATTGTCAAAGAGATGCTCGAAGAGAGCAAGATAAACAAAATATGAGTGACCTTATCAGCGATCTAAAGAAAGCAAGAAGGGATGAATTCTCTCGCAAAGACCGACTCTCACTAAACAAAGCTTATCAAAAGTACCTCACTTGAATAATTTATAGGTTCCTTAAAAAGGAAGGGATTCAGATAAACCCAAGGAGGATAATCAAGAAATCTAAGCTAATAAAGAAGCCAAATCTGAACCGGGTGTTCTCATAGACACATCTAAGGTCTGAGGGCACTTATAGCCATACCAAAGCCGACTTGTACATGGCTCTAAATAGCTAATTTATGTCATAAAATAACTTGAAATTTTATGTTGCTTCAAATTACCCCTCCCAGGTCTAAATTTCCCAAAGAATTCCAGAAATATGTATGAAACTTCTAAGAGCCCAAACGTTAAGTCTGAAAGTGTGTTTGCAAGCCTCGCAGACGGTTTAGGAAATCTGTGCTATTTGACTTCAGAGATTTTTGAGGAAATTCAGCTTTGAAGCTGAATTTTGACAAAGGGAAAGAGAAATTTTAATCCATGTGAAGGAAATTTAGAGCTTGGTAGGGCGGAAAGAGTCTGCAAGCTATTCTGAGTCTTAGCTTTTAGAGTAGAACAGATAATAACACCTAGGAGATGAAAGAGAAAGTGGGAAATCGGTCAAAAAATTAGATTAGGCCTTTGATCCCAAATTTAGCTTTTTAATCGAGCAATACCTCTTACCATGCTAGGGGTTTTGGGGTTTTGGGGTTTTGGGGTTTTGGGGTTTTGGGG